CAAGAAACAATGGTTTTGTGTTATACATGTGCAAGCATGCTGTGAACAATTGGAACCTAAATAATAGGATAGAGCTAACTTAGCATACGTAAATAGAAGATTCACAAACACAGTCCTGAAGAGTTGAGAATTTCCTTGTCGTCAAACTTCTCTCCAAGGCAAGCAGCCCAAAACTGAGAAATAACAGAGTTGCCAATAAACACTGAATGTGCCATAAATTCCTAATTGGTGATTACAAGAAAGTTTAATGCCACTAGGAGGAACAGGGATGACACAGTTTCCAGATAAAATAATTCCTGAAGTTATATAGAATAGAGCAAGTAACCATGACTGATATTTATGCATGACAAAGGTGCAGACAAAGATACCTATTTGCAAACCTAAATAGTACCTTAGAGCTTTAAACTATGATAGGAAGAAACAAGATTCACAAACATGGTTCTCAACTTTTGAAAAGTCCCTTTTCGACAGAGTCACCCCAAGCACATTCTCCTATTGTCTCACACACATGTTCAACATACTAAAGCTACCTATCCATTGCTTTATTTATTTTTAGAAGAAGTTCCAGGAAAAAAGAAAAAAAAAAGGAGCAGTCACATAAGGTTTGCAGCAATAATGCAATTTGCTTCTGTCTGTAAACCATAATGACCAAGTTGATGGAACAATGTCAAAATACTGGGCATGTATTCATACCTTTGGTGAACTTGACTGCACTGGAGAGCATATTGATCCATCATTTCTAGTGGCCTGACCATCTTTCGCATGCAAGTTACCTCTAGGCAACTGACCAACCCTACGGGGATCCATCTCTCCACTGTTAGTTGAATTCCCGAGGTTGCTTTGTGATTGTGCATGAGCTAAAACCTGCTGCTGCTGTTGTGATGCCAAAAGAAATTGATTTTGGGCCGGTAGATTAGGTTTCTGCATTTGTACACCCAAATTTGGTCGTAATTGATCTATTCCCTGCATAATTTGATAAGGAATCAACTCTTAGTGACAAGGCGTACCCAAATTATGTGCATGAATAGCTTGTCGAGAACAGAGAAAAGGTATTTAGGACTTACAGTTAAAGGCCACCCCTTTAAAGGAAGCCCAGTAACACTTTGGTTAATTCCTGAAAAAACAACACCACATAGAAAATTTAAGCATATCTAGGGGAATTTTTCTATGACAGAAAAAAGAACCTATTGACAGGTAGGTACCACCTGTATGCAACGGCTAGATATGGGGAAAAAAATCTATAAGGTCCACAAGCTCTCCTAAATTGGGGAGAGTGTGACCAAGGAACATAAACAAAGAATCTTATTCAGCCAAAAATCTCAAACTCTATAAACAGAGTTTTAAACCCTTTTGAAAAATGATAGTGGCTTTAGGAACATAACACATTAGAAGAAGCTAACATCTTTTGGATGAATATATTTATATATTTAGTTGTTATTAAGTGATGCATATAAGCTTACAAAGTTCAAGAAAAGAACCTAAAGGGTACTCAAACATCACATGCAACTCTATAAGTATGCTCCATTCAGACACTAATCTTGGTAACAAACAGTGCTCTAAGTGGAAAGACAATTTAAAGTTTGCATCTCGTTAAGGGAAAAGATGGAGTTACAGTTTTCTTAGAGAAAATAACTATTGTGATGCATTTTATTATAAACATACCAGCCATGGAGTGTTAGGCAGTAATACCTGCACCACTTAGTCCAGATTTTGAGGGAAAAATTGCTTGTCCATAAATGGATGAAGGATCCGTAGGCAGACTTTTTGGACTTGCTCCCAAGTTGACTTCACCTTTGATGTCCTACAAATTGCAGATATTGCCCCAACTAAGAAGAAGTAGAAGAAGAAGAAGAAGAAGAAGAAACTACAAGTACAGTATGCACAGTTTTTGGCAGATGGAAAATACCCTAATAGTTCTTTCCGCGACACAGACCCAATGGTCCTACTTCACAGAAAAAGAGCTGTAGCCATTTAGCTTTTTCATATATTTGGAGCAAAATCAAGGATAATGCCGAATTATATGAGGTTTTGATGTTCAACCGTGTCCAAATCAAAGTGAATTAAAATAAAAAAAATCTGATGCACACAGTATGTCAGTTATTTCAATTAAATTTTGGTTGCATCAGCCCTTGTGCTAACCAAATGAGACAGGTTAAGTGTCAAAAAGAAAAAAGAGCAGACAACTCTTGACTCTTAACTCTTAACACTACACTTTGTGAGGGGGAACCATCCACAGCAAATATAACCACCAAGAAGCCAAGATGCCAAAAGCCAGAAGAACAGCAGCACTCACAATCAGATTATCAAATTAGTCAAATTAAGGTGAGAGATACTGCAGCAGAAAGACAGTAGAGAGAGTGAGAGAACAGAAGTGGAACAGTATTAACACCAGCAGCTAAACAGAGATGAAACAGAAGGGAGAGAAGACTGGAAAAAAGGGGAGAAGAAATTAAGAGAAAGAGATGAGAGAATATTTTTTTTTATTTGAGAGGGAATAAGAGAGAGAGAATATACAGTCACAATGTACCTCCAAAAAATAACTAACTTAGCTAAAGCATCTTATCGGCAACAGTATCACAATGTAAATGGTCCAGCAAAAATGATCCACTAGCACCAATAACCAGTGACTCATCATCCCACAAATGATAAAGTGACAAAATGAACAAAAGAAAGTAAACAATACAGACAAGCTCTTTGGGTTCTAGTCTCTACACATCTACACCTAAATGTAAACCTAAAATGATTTCTGTAAGAGACACTTGATTCTGCATCCACAAGTTTGAACTCAATATGGAGTGAAGATTCCATTCAAAAGTAGCACATTTTGTTGCAAATACATCAATCGCGACTGTAAAAGCCACAGATACAGCAATTTTCTCATATTAGAATAATGTAAAGGTGTTTGGTACACAGCAACAACTTGCTAGCATGTTCTGAGAAAATGAAATAGGAAAGAATAGATAACACATGTAAGTTGTAAGCAAAACATGTGGAAGCATGTCACTTGCAACAGGGCTGCTAGATGCTTAAATGGTATTTCCATTGAGTGATTTTCAGTGAAAGACAATTTTGTCTCTCCCAATATATTGAAGTGGATGTTTCAAACAGAACCATTTACAGAGACAAATTTCACACTGAAACATAATTTATCCAAGAGGAAAATGTAAAGAAATAACAGGTTTAAAGTAGTTACATTTGCTAGAGCAGTTCGTCCCTGCATTTGCTGCAATGCCATAGAAATGTTCCCGGGATTACCTTGTACCAACTGGCTGAATCAACAAGACAAACCAGAGAAAATGGATGATCTAATTAAAACAGTTTATAGAATGTAAAATAGAGTACTAGTACATACACGAAATATCAGTCATTTACCCTTGATGATTGGCTGATGGTTTGAGGAGGGCCATCCTATTGGCATCGATTAGAGCAGGCGATGTCTCTGTATCCATTGAATGGGGATTTTTCATTCGTTCTTCATACATTTTCATGGCCAACACACTTGCTGATGGTTGTCCTATCATTCCTTCAGAGTTTAGAGCACTAATTGAGCTCCCAAGGGCAGGATGATTAGGATCCCTTCTTTGCAAATGTACATTCCGCTGCTGCAGGAGCTGCAACTGTTGCATCTGTAGCTGCTCCCTCGCCTTCATTTGCTGGGCCTAATAGTAATAGGTAAAGGAGACAATAAGAGACTCAACATAAGGGTTTATATTTCTCTATTAGAAAAAATATGAACAAAGTGAAATCCAAGTACGACAAGACAACTGCACCTCTATGTAGGCAGCAGCAGCCTCTGAATGTTTCTCATTTGTCCTTGCAATGAATATGTCCCAAAAGACAGACCACCACTCAAATAGAAATCCTCCAGGTGCATCAATTGCTGAGCAAGAAAATCATCGCATATGTCAAGTTAACACTCAATCTGGATATTCTTGCTAGCTTAAAGAGTTCAGTAGGTAATAAAACACAATACATTCCCCAGAGACAATTTCTGGACTGTATTGATGAGGAATATACTCGATCATATAAATTTATAACATGACAATACTTTTTTACCAAAAAGAAAAGAGAAAGAGAGAACATGATGATCATATGACGCGGGTTAAGAATGCTTGAACCAACAATTAGCCAACAATCTTACCTACTGGATCTGTTGCAACCTTCCCTTCTGTCATAAAAGCTTTTGCAGAATTGTGCAATTTCTTTTTCACCAAATAATCATGAATATAAACATCAAGCCTGTAGAGCGAAGAGAGAGAGAGAGAGAGAGAGAGAGAGAGAGAGAGAGAGAGAAGGTAACGTCAAACGATGATGGTATTAAAACTACTTAGAGCTACCAGCAAATTCAAGTAAAATCTCTCCCATTAAAAATTAAAAAGGAAAAAGAAGTGAAAGGAAAAACCGAAACAGCACTTACATCTTATCAGCTTCCCAATTACTCTGCGCCATGATACCGTCTCAACAGTAGCAGAAGAATGACAAGCGCTCACCGCTTTTACCTGCAAGCAAGCGCACCAACACAGTACCACTTCAGATCTCTTGTAGTTATAGCAGTTAGTTCAAACCAACAAAGATACAAATAAATAGCGGGTATTAGTAAGAATTCTGACGTTTCAACTGAAAAAAAAAAAGAAAAGAAAATTCAAAACTTACACGCAATATTTATCTTAATTACAAAAAGAACGTCTAAACCGCTTAAGCACTGTACTACTTTTTGCTAACCCAACCTAAATTTCATATATTCTTAAGACTTCAAAATTGGCTTCCTCCAGCTTTCCTCAAATTTACCAACCAAACAGACTTAAATCAGAAACCGAAATCACAATTCAGACTGTTTTGAGGAACTCGTAATCATACCAGCTGAATTCTGCAACACTAATCCCACAAGATCTCTGTGATAAATCCTTTAATTAATCAATCTGAGTCAACAAAACAGAAATGAAATTAACCAAAGCAACTCAGAATCTAAATAACCGAAATAAATCAGTTCAATGGGCCGTAGATCGACGATCTATACCATTAACCATGTCCAATTGCCGGTCATATTTCAAGAGCTGCACTTCTCAGAATGTTTCAACTGAGAAATTATAGTTATGTCTGATTGTGAAAAAAATTAAGAAGAAAAAGAAAAAGTTCTCTTGAGTGTAGCTGAAGTGGAACAGCTCGAGCTTTAACGGCGAAAAAGAGAGAAATGGTACGTAAGAGAATCGCAAACTTATCAAAGATATTTAGAAGGTTCATTGTGAAGGAACCTAACCTCTGGTTCGGCGCTGACTCACGCGCTCACAGTCTTTTTCTTTTTTCTTTTCCTTTTTCAATTCTAAATTATAATATCAGCCGTGCTTTGTTAAATATTGAATTAATTAACCTCTTTTTATTTTATCTGTGGCTAATATCGTAGTAAATCTCTTTCCAACGGAGTTAATACAATTACTAAAATTAGATAAATTCTTTAATTAATTAGATATTAACTTTTAACTGGAAATATTATATTAATTAATTATTTATCAAAATCAATCCCCAAAACCATTTATGACAATTACACAAATTAATCATTCTAATTTTAATAACATAACAAAATAACACAAAATTTCAGACACTGAAATAAAAATTTTGAACTCCTAGAAAATAATTTTAATTCATATTTATTTCATACGTAGCGTCCAGCTGGTGATCAGGTGGGTTCATATAGAAAATACATAATTCGGAATATGTTCTGTAAAGAGGTTCGGAGCTGGCTTCGGTGCCAAAGTGGGGAGGCTCGGCTTTGTATAATAGATGCGGGGGCACTGCTTCGTAAGCGCTTAAATGTCGAATAAGTTGCGCCGAAGACAGACAATAACAGTAGTCTTCATGGGTGTCACGCACACGTGCCTTGTCATGGAGTATCGTATTTTGCATGAGTCGTTGAATGTTCAGCGAGCGGCGGAGATGTCGCGAGCTCTTAAATGCCGAACAAGTTTGAGTAGTATATATTAGTGTTGTGAAGGCACGCGCCTTGCTAGCGAGTTGATGTTTCGTGAGCGGTTGAGGTGTAAATTTGCGGGAGTTGCGTGAGTTTTTCAGTTATGGGGATTGGGTTTTAAATCTTAATTTTTATTTTCTTAAAATAAAATATTATATTATATTATATTATATTTCATGGTTGAGCTGGAGTTTAAACGGATGCAGTGTGTATTATTGCGGGCTTGATGTCACCCAACGAAAATAGAGAGGAGATAACAGCAAGATGGTGGTAAAGGTGGAAATGCATTTAATGGTCTTTATTATTTGGTTAAATTAAACTAAACATTTAATTGTTTGATATGTACAAAAAATTATAATTAATAAGTTTTATACATAATTATTTTTTCAATATAATGCATAATTAAAAATATCATACGGACTCAACGGATTTGGTGGGTCACGAATTTTTTAAATATAATAGCAAGATGTTGATTTCCAAATTAGTTGTTTTTAGTTTTTATTTATTTTTTTATTATAGACCTAATAAAACTGTGATATTATTAAGAAATAAATGCGCACTACGATAAGTCGCCAACCACCGGTTACTCGAGAAAAAGGCCAAAGAAGCTCTGCGATTTAAAAAAAAGGTCAGACCGTCGGAAAAGACACGTGTCAAATATTTGGTGGACAGTAAGTTCTAGAAGGTCATAGAAGAGCACTGGATTATGAATCGCAAGCCCGCGTCAATTCCAACTCGAGGGTCGTCTTAGAGAATCTTGTGCCCAAAGGCAAACGCCGAACCACCCCCGCAACTATAAAAGGGGACCCAGATCAAGCTCTTGGTTCAATTTTTCCTTTCTGTTATTTTCTCTTGCGTTAGTTTCTTTCGCGCATACCCCTCTAATCCCGCAAGAGAAGATCCTTTATCGTTTCTCTTTCTCTCAGGTGCTCTTATCCTCTTCCTGCATTTTGTGTCTGCGAAATTTCATATTCAAATATCAATACGGTTATTCAGCTATTTGATGAATGGTTTTGTATGTTGATTTCTGGACATTTGGATTTTAGATTTACATGTTTAGTTCTCAATTTTTGATTTCAATATCGTATTTTTTCGTATGTGAGAATGTTGGAATTCAAATAACCTCTCTTTGTTTCGAATTTGGGTATAGCAATTTGAATTGTGTTGAAATTGGGACAGTTTTCTTCTGCGTTTCAGTTCTTTTTGTTTCGAGATAATTATACGGTGATGATTGTTATACGTTGTCTCCTCTGAGAAAATGATTCTTTAGTAATTGGTGCATATGCTATTCTTTTTCCTCGTGTTCTTAATCTTCTTAGAACAAACTGTGTATCTATGATGAGTTTACGTAATCTATTATTGGATCTGCAAGATTCGATGAATTTACATGGCGGAGATGCAATGTGGGGCTTAATCTTCGTTGTCTATTAGTTCGTTATCGAAACAATTCCCCTTTGGTAATAACATGTTGGGTGGTCGTCTATTCCTTTTGGTACTTCGTGAAGGATGTGTGTTTGTGCATTTGTTTGTACTTCCGTATTAGACGAAAACTAAATCATCGATGGAATATATTTGCTAAGAGTCTTGGAATCCTGCCATAGGAACGCTTTTTACGGTCTGTATTACTTCTTTTTGTTTTCTTTCTACCGTGTCTAGTGGCTACTCTGAAAATGCTGCTCGATCATATCCTCAAGTTCTATGGTTTTGATTTGAATAGGTTATCCTTCTTCATTGAGCGTTTTGCAAGGAGCTGAAACTCTGAAGAGATGGCTGAGGTTTCCGATCCTCTCTTATTCTCAGTGTTCTGTTTTCTCTGTTTGTCATCGGTCATCTCCGGCAATTTGTACGTTTAACTGTCTTGGTTTACTGAGTATATTATTGAATTTCAAATGGATGTCAGGAGGGTCACAAGGTTACTTTGAACGTATATGACCTAAGCCAAGGGTTAGCTCGTCAACTCTCAACAACATTTTTAGGGAAGGCTATTGAAGCGATATGGTAAGTTCTGGAGGCAGGCTAGTAACATGAATATTTTTATGGTGTTAATATTTGAAAGTTATTTACCATCAAATATAATAATCTTATCTTCTATTTATAACTCAAGATAAATGAAAGGAAAGCGCGAAGTTGTTGCATTGTTTTCTGAAGTATTCCTCTGTGATCATGATGCTAAGATATATATGTAGAGATAATTATTGTGGTTTTGTGGGTCTGAGTTGCTCTATTTCTCAGGCACACTGGAGTCGTAGTCTATGGTAACGAGTACTATTTTGGGGGAGGCATACAGCATTCGCCTGCAGGAGCAACACCATATGGAACACCTATTCGAGTGATAGATTTGGGCGTTACACATGTCCCCAAGGATGTATTTGAGATGTATTTGCAGGATATCAGTCCCCGATACACGGCAGAAACTTACAGGCTGCTTAGTCACAATTGCAACAACTTCAGCAATGAGGTTGCCCAGTTTTTGGTTGGTACCACAATCCCAGACTACATTCTGCAGCTGCCTAATGAAGTTATGAGTAGTCCTATGGGTGCACTTATATGTAAGTAGTTAGCTGCTATAAATTTTTGTTTAAGGTCTTTCTTTACCTCTCATATGAATTTTTAGTTTTCCCAATCTCACGTTTGTCTATCCTTTTTGGCTTGCAGTGCCCATGATACAGAATATTGAAGCAACTATGAAGGCGGGTGCTGTTCCTCAAGTTCCTCAATTCAGGCCAGCTGCAGAGCCCTTTAGTTCCTTTGGCAGAGAAGCAGGTCCAAGAAGTAAGGACGAGATTGATGATAAGTCAACCAAGGTCGAGTGGCCAAAGAGATCAGTTGAAGCAGTACCGCCAGCTGTCCAGCCTGCAGGGACTAAAGAGAAAAGTAGTGGTGGGGTTGCAGGAGACCCTCTAGGGGATGCTAGGAGCAAGGTTCAGGAGGAGATTACTCGTGAATTTGCTGCTATCATGGCAACTGGAACATTGCGTGCAAGTGAGGCTGCTGCATTGGCAACCAGGAAAGTCATGCAGAAGTACGGGAATATGAATATTGTCATGCCACAAAGCTGATAGGAATTTGCTTTTACAATTGGGTTCAGGACCCCTCAGTAGATACGATGGAATTCTTTTATCAGACTTGAAGTTCGGTAGGGGTTTTGCTTTGATACCAGGGTTTTCTAGTTAGCAAAAAATTACTGGTTCTTTCTCATTAGGTTGGAGGCTGCGGGCTCAATATAGAACTAATCTAGAATTGCTCTGGGTATATAGAACTATCTAGAATTGCTCCGGGTACTTAAAAAAACGAATTTAACTTTACCACTATTATTCATTTCATCTGTGTATGAACCTGAGAAAAGGGGTCTTAAATGCTTGAATGACCTGAATGGGAACTATTGGAAGATGTGCTTGAATTATGTTTCAGCTTCTGTTGTGTAGTTTTGGAGGAATGATTGATAGATAATTCACAGTGCAATTTATTTATTTTCATCAATGAGTATGGAAAACCTTCTGTATTAGATTTCCAATGGCCATTGTCTGTTAAATACCTGATTATTTTGTTTATGCATTTTAAGATGGTTATACTTGGATTTATTATTATTTTTTTGTTTAATGATTAACATCAATCCGTATGCAGTATTTGAATATATAAACTATAAAAGATTCAACCATAACTTGGATTGGAATAAAATGCATCTTATTTAAGTTTCTCGGTGACAATGTTCGCTTGCATGTAAAGTTGAATATGCAGTAATGTAGGACAACTAATTAGAAATCACCCCCAAAAGAGAAATAATAAGTGCCTATACCAATGAGAAGTGGCATATGTGACATGTTATGTTAATTACAAATAGTATAAATCCATGAATTAATTTCTCAATGAATTTATCTTTTGCCAATCAATATAATTCACATATGAATTTAAATAATGATGCATTATTAATTTATGTTTCCTGTAAACAATTTGTTATCTTTTAACAGTCCATATAATTATTTACGTCAATTATATATTTTTCTCATAATTTCTCATATAATGTGTTATATTTCCTTTTACTTCATTTATCATATTAAATTATGAAATTAAATAATGATACAAATTTATACAAAATATACATATAAAATTAATAGGCGGGGCTGTGAAAAGCAAATATATCACAAGTGACATCTTAAAAATACTACATAAATTATATAAATACAACTATATAATTTTTTTTCTTCGTAAATATATTGAATCATTTGCCAATTCCATTAAATTAAAATTTAGTTAATGTTTTATCTTCTTAAATTTTTTTTTTATAAAAATTGGTATTTTAAATCATATCACATAAGATGATGAAAATAATATCATTTTTATTTTAACATATTTTATATTATTAGTTACCATAACTGTTTATTTTCAATAAATATATTTTGTTTTTAGATGAAGTGAATACTTCTCAAGTTGATGCGGAACCCCAAGATCCTTGCTTCAACCTTAAAATTCTTCAGTTGGTTTAGAACAAAATTGAGATCACAAGTAAAAAGGAAGTAAATTTGTTCAATCACTCAAATGGTAGAAATTAAATAGAATCCAAGAAAAATAAATAAAATCCCTTGAACCCAATCTAAACAAGAATCAAGAACAATTGAAATAGAAAATCAAAATTGAATATAAGTGATAATAATTATATTCTAAATCAACACCTTGTGCATAAAGTGAAAAGAAAGGCAAAACGCTTTTAATTCAATTCTGAAATATTTGATTACTACTATCCACAAAGAAAAGTTTCTTTAGTATTTATAATCAAAGAAATTAATGATAAGTTACAACACAATAACTACAATTGTAACTCCCACAATAATTAGGCTAATTATGTAATAATTACAATTGTAACTCCAATAATAACTAGGCTAGTTATAAGCATGTAATTGTTATGTAACTTCTTATAACTCTACTCTTCTTAACCAACACCACTAATTGTTTATAACAACAAATAGTTATGAGTTTATTTTTGTAATATCACTAAGATAAAACTTAAGCCAAATGAGTTATATTTGACTATATGAGCTTAATTAACTCAAATTAAAATAAAACAATATAAAATATTTAAAACATCTCAACTAATCCAACTCATATACAAAACTTACTCACTCTTTACCAATAAGACTCAAAAAAGCCCAAATTATCTAAAATCATTTAAACCCAATTAAACTTACGAATTTGAACTGTTCAAAAAGTTTATATTTGAACTTTTCACAATTAATCATCCTATTATCCACATATTTTTGAGTAAAAATTTAGAACAACTTTTTAAGTTTCTTTGCCTTTGATCTTATTACTGGTCTACTAAAACTTTTCAGATTTGAAACTTTATTTGTGTTTACGTCATTTGAAATTTGCTCCAAGTCACCTTTTAATACTTTTTAAGTATTTTGAATGTTTTTAACTTTGTTTGTATCCCAAGTGATTAATTTTTTTAGCTAAAATAATCATATTAGATTAAAGTTTGATATAACAATTTTTAAACAGAAAATAAACCTTCATTTAGGTGTCAAAAAAAAATTTATTCTTGTATCCCACTAATATAAATTTAAGAGAATTACAGTTATACCTCAAACATCACGAAGTCATATCTGTTCACATGTATTTATTTTAATGGATGGAAAAAACTAGTTAGAGAAAAGAGCACAAAAAAAAACCTAGATCGGAGATAAGTATAGACGCTGCTGATGTATCCCTCAGACATGAAAAAATACCAAATAACTTGGAAAATCTTACATGTTATGATATTGCTGTTTTGTCTTAACCAGTCAGTGAAGTAGCATGATTTTCATCAGTTAAAGTAACAACTTCTTCAAATTCATGCCTGGCTTCTTTTGAGCCACCCCAAGTCTCAGAAGGGATGTTGATGCCGGCAAACCCTACCATGACAGCAAGAGCTCCAACATAATCTATGAGATGAGGAGCATTTCCTGTCAATGTATCTATTATGGCCGCCAAGGGAACTTGAATTGTAAGCCCTGCTGTTGCTACTGTTGTTGTTGTCAGGAGAACAGCCTTTGCCCATAGATAATCACTCAGCACATTGTCTAACAAACCTGCAGAGAAGAAGGAAAAGCCTTTAACCACCGTATTAAATCATCCAGCACAAGGTTTCCTCGAAATTAATATCACATAAAGAGGATAGATAGGATATCAAGGAACTGGCTCCTGAATTATGCATCTCCTCAAGAAGAAAGACAATGAGTGTATAAGACATTCCATGACATTTCAATATGCATGAAGTTTCATTTACTCGGCAATAGATTCAAAACTCACGTTTGGAAACTAATTCCTCAAAAAGAAATAATTTCTGGAATCTAAACTAATTCCTCGCAGGCATGGGCTGACCAACTTTAAACATGCATCTACTTGAACTTCTATTATGAATTGTCTATTTATTCTAGTTTGCTAAAGGACAGAACCATATACCATATGTAGATTTACCAAATATATAATAATTCCTCAAAAATTTGAAAAGAAATCGTCAGTTGATCCTATACAAGTAAAGGGGCAAGAAGCATTAAAGTTTGACTACAATGAGCATCCAGCAGGCACAATAAGAACTGGGCTACTGTTGGACCAAACCTGACGCTCCTTTTGAGTTCGCTAAGCTCGAAATGGCATCTCTTCTCTATGCATATTCTAAATAGCCAAATTTTATTATGTTGGTAGACGTAAAACATATTACAAACCATTAACTAACCATGTTTCTCTTTGCTTCTAATTTGATTATCAATAAAACCAAAAAAAAAAAAAAGGAAAAACATAATCTTAAATGGGATCAGAGCCTCCTGGCACCTCTGCACATGTGAAGCTGACCACACCTACCAGGTTCATGTTTAACCAATTTTCCCGCACCAGTGCCAACGAAAAACCGTTTAACATGCAATAACTAATCCAGGATCCATGAATGTAATTGTTCATTCAACAAATTTTTCTGAAGCTAACATGAAATTCAAACCTTGCGAGCCAAAAGTAATCAATTTCAACATCTAACTTCTACTTTATAACGAAAAAGATGGCTTCAGCTGATACTTAACCCGGATACCTATTCTAAGACAGCAACTTAGTCATCAAGAGAAATTGGCAGAAAAAAGAAAAGCTTGACCCCGGTTTGATGGATAGCAAGACCTTTCTTATTCTATTTTGTTCTTGATGCTCCGGACACCTATGTTAACTTATTTCATCATAAAACTTCTCTTCCCAAAAAAACAAAGGATTCCATATACCATATTCCACAGCTGAGATCAAAGAGCTCTCTACAAAGAAAACTGATCCCAACTATGATCATAAAGCCATAACTCTGAATTACATGAACTACATGAATGCTCTTCCATCAACTTGTCATGTTGTCTTTGTTCTTTTTTCAAAAATCATACATCTCTCAGTATCATGGACTATTATGAATTAGCAGCCCGGAAACAATCTACCTATCACATTATATGGCTTAGGAACTTTAAGACCATCCTATATTAAGTCTCAGCATTACGCCTTCTAAGAGAAGATCTTTTACTGGATTTTAAACTCAGTTATAGTCCATGGAACTCTGAGATTTCATTTTCCCTAAAGAACAACAACAATCGTATCCGGGATGTCTAGGTCTAATAAGAGGGAAGACGACATGCAGGATGGACAGGCTTATGTGTTTGATCTTTTGAAGTATTCCTCGGTCTTTCTTCTAAAGATTCCTTAAAATGATGTTTGGTTCCTTATCATTCAGTAGGGGAGAAAAGAAAGAAAAGTGCCATCAAGAGCACAAGAAAAGAAGCATAAAGACTTATGCGCCAAATACATGCATTTGTACACACTGCACAAGCATGATCCTAGAATGTGCCTCAAATTTCTTTTGTTGCTTTTGCTAAAGTTTAAGGAATAGCTCAAAACAAACACTATAACCTTGCACTTAACCAGAGAGTTTATTTTTTTCCATAACTCACTAAAAGATGCAAGCTATAATTATAGAAATAAGAAGTTACGCAAGCCAAAACCAAACAAGATGGTACGTTTTTGTTTCCTGAACAACATATACATACTTGAAATAGGCACTGATTGATACATTATGTCATATTACGATTAAGATAAATACATAATCCCAAATACCTTTAAGGTAACAAATAAAGTTCAATCTAAATATTGAAGAAAAAGGAGAGATAGTTCAAATGCATACCTTTTCCTACAACTAGACCAAACTGATCCCAAGTTAGCTTACTAAAAGGCTCTAGCTTACTGAAGTTGAGCATTAGGGCCACGGGAAGGAAAATGAGGAGATTGAAAAACCCTAAAAATCCAAGGAACTGTGCCATACTAGCATGACCACTTTTTCCATCATCATCAGGCAGCTTCTTCCGAATAAGTGTAATATATGTAGCATACAGTCCAGCTGAGACAAGAGCAAGAATGTCTCCGAGAAGAGGGTTTGAAGCAGCAGCACTTTGAGCCGATTCTGAATCACCCAAGCTGACAGTTATGGACCCCGCCATGCAAAGTAGAACACTGAATAGTTTTACCCAAGTGAACTTCTCATCCAAGAATACTAGAGATACCAAAAAAGTGAAGAGGCTGGATGCACTGCTCAAGATGGTATTTGACTATATGCACCAAAGGAAAGTTAAGAAGACCAAAATTATGAACAGCCAAACAAAGAAGAGAAACAAGAAGCAGGAAAAGGATGCTTACTGTGACTGTTGTATACTTCAACGAGAAATTAAAAGTTAGTTGTGCAAAAAACCAAAATGGGCAAATTATCAGACTGGCCTTTGCCACTCTGGTGCGTGTCCAACGCCCTTTTGCATCCAACCCTTTATCAGCATCTTCAATAGCTTCTTGATCAGGAATGATACTCTCAGGAGAGTTATTTTCAAGTCCATCGAGTGCATCCTCTGGACCTAAATTAGTTGCTCTTCCAAGCTGACTGTTTGTTCCATCTTCCACAACAGCATATGGCGCCGATCTGCTGGATTTTGCAACTACACTACAATCTCCAAGAAGGATGGCGTTCTCAGATTCCCCCAATTTTTGCAAAGGCAAAGAGCTATGCTCTTTTTTTCTCCAAAACAATATATTTCCATATTTATCTTCAAAATAACGGCCAACCTCTACAAGGGGAAGATAAACCACAAACAATGAATTACAAATGTATGTTATGAGAAATGGCGAAACTCCTCCACTTACAACAGACTGAACCACAAAACTGGCGGCAACCCATATGGTTGCAACAGCTAGAATGTATATCAACCCTATCACCCATCTCCAAACTTCACTTCTCATGTCTTTCAATGCAAATAAGAATCGAACTATTCACTAGTCTCTCGAAATTGCTCAAAAATCTCTGTCATCCCCAACGCATCCGTATGAACAGATCTCTTGTATAGGAGAGTGCCAGAGGGATCAGGCGCTAAAAAAGTATCCTAAAATAAAAAAATTCCAAAATAGAAGTTGGATAAGAAAGAGTTGGAGATTACATTAAAAGATCGTAAGAGAAGTATTAGTTTCAGATTTTTTTTTTTTTAATCATGGAAACGCAGATCCAGGAAAGAACCCACATAATTTTGGTCAACCACACTCAGCAACAATAATTTTATTACACTAGAGTTATTTACGTACAAGTCGACAATCTATATATTCAATGTACGTGATCAATACATTCAATGATTATAGTTAAAAGAGGAACATACACAAGTTTGGAGAACTGAACAAAAGCGAACAGAGGACTAACGGATACAGCATGAAACACGTACGTATAATTTCAACGACAGGCCCTTCCCAAAAAAAGAAGTTGTCTTTGTTTCGACTTCAAATTCTCCCCGAAGAGGCTTAGAGACCCAGAGGGAAAAGTTGTCGGAGGCGGAGAGCTGAGCGAGAGAGTCGGTACCTCACGTTGAATATCTATGGTTGCTTTTCCAAAACGAATTGGTAGTTGAGAATTGGGCCAGTCTGGCCCAGGTCAGAAGTCAGAGAACGTTTTTTTTTGGTGGAAGTAAACAGCTTTTTAAATATGCACGTTAATTCAATTACTGTAATCCTCATTTTCTTTTCTAAAATGGTTAGAGAAAATTTAACTTTAATTTACAATAAAAATACAATTTAAGATCCTTATAAATATTTTTTACTATGTGTAATTAATAATTATAAATGCAAAAAAAGTATATATAAATATTATTATTTATTTGTAACAAGATTAATAAACAAATAAACAGTAAATACTATACAAATTTATATAAAATACTGGTTATAATCATACGGAGTATAATTATAAATAAAAATAAAAAATATAATTAAAATTTATCCTTTATTTTCAACAAAATACTACTCTCTCGGTCCTCTCAATGGATTTCAGGTCGTGTCCAATGCCACCATAATGCAAAGAATATCTCATAATTATTGCTATATATATATATATATAGGTGTACAAGCTGGGAATCTTGTCATATACATCATTTTTCTTTTCCAAAACTTTGTGAACGTATAGGATATGAATTTTGGTAGTCAAAAATATAAATCTGTAGTACTCTACAGAAACAGTTTTCCATTGAACGCTTTTGAGTAGTAAGTACTAAACACATGAATCGTATTGTTGGTCTTGAAAGAAGCCATGATCAGAGTAGAAACCGTAACAAGATTATACGTATAGTAAATTTATACGTAGTAATATTATAAGATTCTTCTTCTACAATAAAGATGCAGTCCCAGATTCAGATTGGTTCCTTGAATTAGATCCCCATTCCATGGCTTCTGCAACAGCTCTTTGGCGCTCTGTTGCATCACGATGATCCCCCGAGTTTTTATCAGACGCTGGAGAAGGAACTGAGACAGGAACTGTAGTTTGATCTGGGTCTGTTCCAAGAAAACTGAGAGCAGTCACCACGTCGCTGATCAAAGGCCTCACTGCTGGCTCCTCGTGCAGGCACATGGCTGCTACTGCCACTGCTTGGTTCAACCCTCTTACAGGAAACTCTCCTTTGAGCAATGGGTCGGCTAGTTCTGGGAATCTGCTTGGCTCCTTGAACACAGGTTGTGCCTGGTAAATTCAAGATTGCGTAAGCAAAATTTTCCCACCACAATCATTTGTAGAAGAATCTTGGCTATGGCAGATACCGAGTCACTTCTTTTACAAACAACAAAATGCATCAGACTTACCACCTCAGTTGGCTCTGGCCTAGCCCTAAATTATTTGGCATCCTCACAAGCAAATAATTGAATTGAATTGGACAATTTCAGTACTCAAACTCACCCATGCAACTAGATTTTGCTCATTGGTTGATCTTGTCGTGTCAATGGCTCTCCTTCCGGTGATCAACTCCAACAAGACGACTCCGAAACTGTAAACATCTGATTTGACAGTTAATTGTCCTGTTCTTTGATACTCTGGGGCGCAGTATCCGTATGTTCCCATCACTCTTGAAGACACATGTGTCTTGTCCCCAACAGGTCCCAGCTTGGCTAGTCCGAAATCAGAAAGCTTGGCGCGGAATTCCTTGTCCAGCAAGATATTGGAAGATTTCAAGTCACGGTAGATGACAGGGGGATTGGCCTTGTCATGCAAATATTCTAAACCTTTAGCAGCACCTAAAGCTATTTTCATTCTTGTGAACCAGTCTATTGGCTTTTGGTTTTCTCCAAGATCTGTAAAGCACACATTATCTTATTGATTGATTATCAAGTTCAAAACACATGATTTTTCGGAAAAAGAGAAAAGAAATAATACCAAGTAGATGGTCTTCTAGAGATCCCAATGGCATGTACTCATAAACCAGAAGCCTCTGCTCTCCATCCGCACAATACCCAATAAGATTTACAAGATTTTGATGGTGCAAAAGGCTAAGCATTAACACCTCAACAAGAAACTCTCTATTTCCTTGCAACCCATTTCTATCAAGTTGCTTCACAGCTACAACCTTTAAATATACATACAATACGTTTCAATTTCATTACTCAAAATCCCAATTCGTTGATGAAGTAGAGAGAAAACAAAAAATTGATTTTTACCTGCCCGGTTTTATCAAGTTTCCCTCTGTAAACTCTCCCAAATCCACCTTCACCTATCAAACACTCTTGTCTGAAATTCTTTGTTGCAGTGGCCAGTTCGCGGAAGGTGAATGTTTCTGCTTTAATGTTGTTGCCAGCTTCTTTATGGCCATGATCACCGGTGTTTGTAGGTTCCCGGGGTGCTGCCTTCGGTTTACCATGATCTGTATACAATTGTAAAGAATTTCAAAATCTAGATTTGAAGACGTATCAAAAAAGCAGCATGGCAATAATACTAATCATCACCAAGTTAATAAAAATGCCATATATGATCTTGTTCCTTCTTGTTCTTGCAACGATACAAACGGATTAATGTTGATATAAACTTTGCTCTTAAGATCAGAAATATATAAAAATTTGAAATTACTTCATAATTCAAAAGGAAATGAGCTTACCAGGGCGTGGTTGTGGGGGTGGCACATGGGATTCTTTATAAGGAGCAGAAGTAGGCAATTGTGCACTTCTGTGGCTATTTGTCCTTCTAGTCTTCTTCTCATGTGATGAAAAACATGCAAAGCAACTCATTTTTCTTGTATCTCAATTCTACAAATCCTTTGAATTGTAAAAAGAAAGAAAAAGGCTTGTGTATCTTATACAAGATTCTCTATCAATCCTCTCAAACAAACAAACCCAACAAATTTTGGAGCTTGAATTTATCAAACGAATCTCAGATTAATGGTTGAATCTTGCAAAATATACCCGCATACGGATGAGAACATATATATACATATATATTTCTAATTTTTCCATTTCAGAACATTTGAGACCTTGAAAAATGAGAAATCAATCAACAAAGGATAGATAAGTATGCAACGATCCAATCAAGAACTTGGGAAT